GCGCGGCGTCCACCTCCGCTGCTGACAGCCCCGTCTGCGCCGCTTCTACCGAGCTCGTCGACGCAGTGGGCACGCTTGTCGCAGCGGCGGAGTCGACGCCCGCAGCGGGTGGCGCAGGCGCGGGGTACGCGGGCAGTTGCGCCTCGAAGCGCACCACCGGCCTTGCGTTCTTCTCGTGGATGTCCTCCTGCGTGGGCCCGACAGGCTGCGGGCCCGTGCCTGCGGAAGAGTGTCAGAGTGCTGTTGAGGAGAGAGTAGAGAAGATAATAAGAGAGAACGGATGGGACAAGGCTCTGGTCATCATCGTTGCGCCGCGACGACGGTCCGCGTGTCGTAGAGACACCACGTCACCGCCTCCGCGCGCCGCTGCGGTCAGTCGCGCCTACGTCCACCCACGTCCACACCCACTCTGCCACACGAACGAAAGAACAAAGAAGACCGACTCACCCCCACCCGCCACCCACCTCTCCCCCGCCTCCCGTCGATCCCGCGCCAGAAAAGGAGGGGCACCCATACGCCCGCCGGCCTGCACGCGCGCGAAGAACAGCAGGCGCGCGGGCGGGGCGGAGAGCAGCCTACTTCGTCCGGGATGCAGAGCCCGAGCTTGATGATGTGGATCTTGAGATAGAGCCCAAGCGGCAGGAGACGAAGGAGGGGACGAGACGCGCGGGGAGCGGGGCGAGCGCGAGGACGAGCGGGGCGAAGACGAAGATGCGGGATAGGCCCGAGAGGACGGGCGTGCGGAGGACGATCTCGAGTGGCGAGGAGAGGGCCGAGGCGCGGAGGCCGAGCGTGTGGAACGCGGGGAGCGTGCAGTCGAGCGCGAGCGACGGCGGGAGCGCGGGCGCGCGTGTCGGGGACGGGGATGCGAGGTGCGTCGGCTGCGGCGGGCGGTGTCCTCGAGTCGATGGTCATCCTCTTGAAGTCGGTCGGAGTCACCCTCCTCCCCTATGATCCACTGGCCCGGATCTGCTTCGCTCTCCTCCTTCCCCTCCAGCACATCTCCATGCTCCCCCGGATCACCGAGCGCATACACCGGGAAGCGCCCGTGGAGCGTCGGCACCGTGATCCGCCTTGCTGCACCCGCACCTTCCCCATCGTGCATCCCGCGGACGACAGACGGAAGTAAAGGGACGGTGTAGTGGTGCGGCGGGCACAGGGTGGATGGGTACTGCGGGAAGCGGCGTCAGCATCGGAAAGCGCGGAAGGACAGACGAGCAAAGGCAAGGGACGGAGGAGGACCAGAAAAGGGATGGGAAGGCGCGAAGAGCGAAGGACACGGCTCCGACGAACGGGGACGGGAGGGACCCGAGGACGGGGAAGCGTGACGGAGGGGGGAGGAGGGCCCACACGCGCCCACGACGCGTAACGTGCACCGTGTCAGAGGCGACGGCGCATCGCCCGCGACTCCGCGCGGCGATGGCGCCTCGCCTCGGGCCCGGGGCCAGCGACGGCACCGAGCACGCTCCGCCACGCTGTCCGTTCGAGAGGCGCTGGTCACGGACGAGGGGCATGCAGCGCCGCGCATATACGAGGCCAGATGACAGTCGCAGAACGAAGAACGAAGAACGAGAGGACACGTACCCGGAACGGCACGACCACAAACGGGAGGAGGAGCGCCATGAGCGCGCGCCGCGCGTGCTCGGGCTCCGCGCGGAGGGTGTCTGCATGTACACACACAAGTCAGCGAACATTCGACGATAGAGCGCGCGGGCGGGAAGGAGGCAAGACGAGATGCACATGCACAGCGACGCGGCGAAGCGCCCGACGCGTGTGCGGACGGGCAGTGGTATGGGGGCGAGAAAGAGGGAGAGGCTAAGCGGGGCAGAGATAAGGTGTCGAGCGCGGAGAAGGAGGGGAGGAAGGGAACGCGCCGCGCATCGTCGACGTCGGGCGCTGCGCAGCACACGCTGCGCCCGACACGGCGCGGCGCGGCGCCCGGTGGGGAGCCAAATGGAATAAACTCGGAGATAAAGGAAATCGTAACGGAAAAAGAAAAGGAAAAGAAATGGTAAAGCGAAGAAAGAAAAGAGCAAATGGAAACAAGAAAAGAAAGTAGAAAGAAAAGGCAGACGCACCCCACCCCTCGAAGAACCACGCAACCCACAGCGCCGCCGCGCCCGCCTCCGTGTCCCGCGGCCAGCCCACGCGCCACTCCGCGCCCCGCCCCCACTCCCACGCCCTTCCCCTTCGTCCTGCCTGGGCGTCGAGCTCCCCGAAGCGCCCCTCGTACAGCCGCACGAAGACGTACCGCAGTGCGAACGCGCGCGCGTGCGCCCACGCGAGCTGCCGCCGGTTCTTCCCTGTGCCCCGTCGTCGTTCCCTGGCGGCAGCGGTCGATTCCGCGGGAAGAGGCCGCAGTGCCTCCGGTAGGGGCGGCAGGTCCGTGGAATGGAGGGGCGCAGCGGGCCACGCGTCGCCGACGAGCATCCAGTACGCGTTGATCAAGGCGGCGCCAGCGTCGGGCGCGTGCACGTCCCCGGCGCGCAGGGTGCGCAGGGTGAGGCAGTGGGATTTGAGCGCGTATGCTGCGGCCTTCAGCGTCCCCGCGCCTCCTCCTTCAAGTTCTTCATCGGACGACCACGGCGGGAGCGACGCCGCGGAGCACGCGAACTTCGCGCGCCCGACGCCGCCCCACAAGGCCCAGTTGCCCCACCGTAGGCGCTGGTACAGGGTGCGGCAGGTGCGGAGCAGTGGCAGGAGGGGCGCGGGCGCGCCGAGGTTCGGGGGGAGGGTGGCGAGGTGAAGGGCGGCGAGCGTGAGGAGCTCGGGCGGGAGGGCGAGGAGTGGTGAGCGAGAGGGCGGCGGGTACGCGTAGGACACATTCGAGCGTCGACCGGAGAGCGCAGGTTGGGCAGAACGACAGTCGTTATCGTGGTGAGAAGATGCCAGCGAGCGCGGTCGTGTCGGGCCGCCAGCGCCGTCGCCTCTTAGCCCGCCGTCCTCCCCGTCCTGCCCAGCGTCCTCGTCGTCGTCGTGTGACCCATGCCCTTCGAGTTCGGCGTCGAGTCTGACATCCGAATCCATACGCCCCCCTCGCGCCTCCCGTCCTTATAACCCCATCTCCCGCTGATGCCCTTAATTCCGGCTTCTCCGTCGCACGTCCACTCCACGGCACCTTCGTAAGCCGTTCCCAGACGGCGACCTGCACGGCGGCTGCTGCCGGCACGCGGGGACCTGAGCTCGATGTGCGGCGTCAGATCGTGACGAAAGCGGCGACGACGCCCCGGAGATCGGGCGGCTAACGCCGCACCCGCGTCTTTGGGCGCACGGCGATCAAACGTGGGGGCGCGGCGCCAATCTGCCGGCGCGCCGCGGTCGTCGCTGGTGTTAACTTTGTTCCTCAGCCAGACTCAGTCTAGGCACTAAGTACATGCTGGCGCTCTGAGAAGCTGACCGTGCCGCGGCAGGCTCATAATTTAAATTACTCAGACTTGCTTGCCGTACTTAATATCGGCTGGTTGAATTTAAATTTGAATCATATTAGCGCGTTGAGTTGCAAATAAGCAACTTCGTATCATGGTGGCAGAGCTAGCTAGCGCTACACCCGCCGGTCTAGAGCGCCGCTCGAACGATATTAAACAAGCTAGACAGGAGTCTTGGAAGCGGAAAGACTTCGATCAATGTCTATCTGTGATGGTTTTTTGCCATGATCCATGAGCGAGGATTCGCCGAGGAACCTGCCGGAGCGATGTTGATATGCAGCGCGGCGGCAGACCAGCATTTTTTCGTATCCACACGTCCACCGAGGCTCGCTCGTCTCCTCTTCGGAACTTCGGATAATATTTTCGCTCAACCGACTTCGAGAGGATACCTAAGGACTTGAAGTCTCCGGCGCAACTCTCGCGCCCTGCTTATCTCGAAAACTAATGAGTACTCGGGCGCAATGCGTATATACCGGTATCCGGCAGACCTGATGCAACATTAGTGCGCGGTACGTATACTACGCTGATCTATTCCGATCTCTGCTCGTAGTGCTGCCCGGCAGGCCGGGAACTACGGTGGCCAGCGAAGAGGCTTGCAGTGCCCACCACTCCAGAACATGACATCCGATTGAGTGTTCGTAGGAGATTCGGCTCGGCGGCCCCTGCACCGATGCACAACTGGTATGAGTGGGATTGAATCACGGACGACAGGATGAAAGAAACCGGAATCAAAAGCAGATATTTAAAATATCACGCACGCGCGGGGAGTCGAACTCCGTCTCACCAGGAGCTGGCTCGGAATGCCTGATGATCAAACCGGTCCGTGGTCCGTTACACTGCGGGTGCTCTGAGCGGCTCGTGGAGTACGCTTGGTGTGCGCGGACGGCTTCTGCCATACTCTCGCATTCTAGGACTCCGAATTTCGAGACGCCGACTGTCCCGATGGCCTACGTTCCCACCGCTCGGAAGAACCTAGAACGGGAACAGGAATGAGGACTTCAGAGTGGAGTCTGTCGCTTGGGGTTGACGGACCGTAACTGTCCCCCAATTTCTGGACAAACGCAGGGATATGGAATGCGTTCATCGAGGCGAGAACGAACGTCTCCCAGCGACGCAGAAGAGCCTCGTGCCTTGATGAACTCAGAGCTTTATGTCGAGTGATATGTGCATCGCTTCAGTTCATCCACTTGCAGAGTAGACGTGGAGCTCACCGTATACGACACTGAGTCCAGCTTCGCATCGGTATGAGAGTCTAGCTGCACAATAAATACGACCGAACTAATGAAATAGAGAGGAATGAACGTTAGTAAACCAAGGATTCAAGCGAAAGAGAAACAGCGACGCACTTCTACTTGACGCAGGCCCGAATCGAGGGGCTCCTACGGATGTAGATTATGTTTGATGCAGTGCAGGCGCGCGTTGAAGGCCGCTGTCGAGCCGGAGCAGCGAGTCGTGCATTCGGAATACTTAGTTCGCGCGGCGCAGGCGAGATTGCACTGCGAGATAGTAAGCGCGTGATTCGCAGAACTTGAACGGCGAGCCTCCAACGTAATAAAAACTTCACAACACTAGCGATGGCCCGAGCCCGAGTCGAACGGGCGTCACCTGCTGGACGATTCCTAAGTTTCCCATCTATACAGGTAGGCAGGCGCGGACCGTCCGCTATCGAGCCGTGCGTCAGGTAATTTGCACGCCGCTATTGGAGGCGGAAGTCCGGCGATACGTCCGGACGGGGAACAGCACGGGCCGCGCATCGGGGCGTGGGGCGGCGTACATGGTAGCACGGAAGACAAAAACCCTACGAAACCTTGTCAGTTGGTAGCTAGGTAGATCAGGAGAACACCACACTTACCTCGAGCTTTATCTCTAAAAGATCGCCGTTCTCTCCGCTCTGAAGCAAGGATTCAGGCGGGGGGGGGACGCGCCGACAGGCGTGCAGTACGGGTTTTGAGAGCGAGATAGATGTGGCACCGCGGAACAGAGCTGTTCCAGAGCATCGGTAGTAAGCGAGCTGGCATACGTCTAAAGGAATATCTGACAGGCGGACACCCATACTGGATTGCCGAAGAGCCACGGCAATATGCAGCTGTAAGGTATGGTTGACTTTGAGCGATTGCGAGTCTTCAGGCTCAAATCTTGCGCGCTGAACCTCCGTAATCCACCGGTAGCAGAGGAATTTGAGCTTTCGATTTGGATCGACAAGAGGGGTCTGCCAGGAATCCGAGGACGAAAGTAGGCTAGGTTTTGAGGGTGTGCCTCAACACAGAACGGGATCAAGAACAAAGATGCGCGCTTTTGCGAGGCGGAGGGCCGTCGGAGCGCGAGTACTGCACAAACTTGCAGCGAGATGATGAGTGTTGAGACGAAGAGCGGATTGATCGCATCAATTCATTCGGGAATAAACCGGGCCGAGCCACGTCATTCTCTCACTCGCCCCACTGTCCCAGTGTCCGCCGATGAACAGGTCGTCCCGTCTGACCGAAGGCTCGTCAGCCCACTTGGCGTCAAGAATACAAGCTACCGGAAGCCTTTTTTGAACCTTCTGTGTCCCCCTGCCACGCTATGTGGAGCTCAAGCTTCCCTATTGGCGATCTGGCTGTCTCGGAGCCTGCTTTCACCTCTGAATCATGGTCTGCCTGCTCAGAATCTTCCCAGTGCTATCCAGAGCTCTCCATCGTGCTCAACTCTCTCTCCCGAGCTCACTGACGTGACTATCACACTTTCTGTGGATCTAAACTCGGGCTTCGCTGCGCATGTGCCTCAGGCTCGTGCCTCGTCATCGTCAGAATCCATTCATTCAGGGTGCGAGATTCACTCAAGCTCGCGGTCTTCATGACCATCCAGTCTCATTCGATAGATCGGCGGGGTCCCTCGAGTTCCAGATGTGTCCTGAATCATGGGACTTTTCTCTCCCCCGCCTTCCGCATTCAAATTGCTTCCACAAAGGGCAATGAATGATATATTCCGACGGTGCGTCGCGTTGATCTTGCTCGGCCGAAGGAACCTCGCGATGACACTGCACCAGGACGGCTTCCCGATGCGAGTAAAAGCGTAGATCTCTGAGCCAAGCGGCAAACGGTGTGGTTGAATTCGAAGTAAGGTTGAATCTGAGTGGGGGAGGAGACGCTCGACGGAGGTGGTTGAAATCGTCGACAGCCATACAGCGAGAAACGACCGTTGGTTTGAATAATTAGGCACCATTAATGTACAGATTTTGGCGCATGCGCAGATAAGAGCAGAGGTAACAGCATCTGAACGTCCTCAGGCGAGGCAGAACAATCTTTTCGTGAAATTCCAGAATCTGTGCTTGGGCGGCTGGCCAAAGTGTTAATCAGACGACGGAGCGTTTTGCGATGGCTGGCGACGCACATGTGTCTCTCCTTCTACACCCTCAGATCTGGTGTGAGCGAAGCCGCTCACGATGAAAGCTGGATAGCCCTGGCGAGCAAGTGCAACGGCCCCGGGCGACGCTGACTGTGGAGGGAAGTAATAAGCGAATTTCGAGAGGGTTCCGCTAGTCGCATACGTCTGAGTACATTTCATCGACGGTATCACTTGCCCCCGCGCCCTCCTGGCGCTGAGGGTCGCTTGTGCGCTTTTTCTGTTTAGGAAATGGGAGAGACGATGTGGGCAAGAGCTCGCTGGCGGCGACGCTGACATTCGCACCGACGAGGCTCTCACGGCGGCGACATCTTTCAAGGGCATGTGTGGTGTGGGAGAGCTTCTATTGGGTCGTGGACCTGCGGGCGGAGGGGAAGGGCTCTAGTTTGCAGGCTTTTCCACCAACACTGCCACTTGCCCAAATCTGGCCACCTCGTGTCGTTTAGGTCGGTGCCCATCGATGCAGGGCGGGTTCAGAGTGTACAGCGATATCAGTACTGACATGCTGGACTTCTTCAAACGCGATAGTCTCTATTGTTTTGCTCGTCACTTCCCAACGGGCTGATATATAAATGTTTCTTCTTATGAACCACCTCTCAGGCTGTTATTATATACGATAATTGTCACCCTCAGGAGTTCCTGTGGAAAGAGTAAAGGGCTGATCTCGGTGCCAGTGAGGACGCGCATTGCGAGCAGCAGCGCAATAACACGCCAAATATTATATCAATATTCAACGAAATGAGTTGGACCGTGGTTGTAGATGTGATGCGACCCGTTCCTGTACGTCAGTGTCCCAGGATATAGTCCACGAATGGGATTCCCAGACACGTCGACCGAAGATCATAGAGAAGAAAGGGGACGCGGCCGTTTATTGCTCGGACCAGGTTGTGAAAAATTGCGTGCCTAGCCAGAATTCAGCGGGCAGCAGAAAAGGGGCGTAGATCAGACGCGGAGGTAAGCCCTTGAACAGCGGAGTGAAAGGACACACACTTTTACATTCTGGCAGTCACGCGTTCATGCGGCGAAGGCTGTGCGGTAGCAGTCTTTACCGGGCCTACAGGACGAAGATATTACGAGCGGCAGGACAGATAGGGGCACATACACATACTGTGTATGCCGCGATGATCTGCGCAGAATGTCCTTTACCTCGGCGCATCGCGGCGGGGACGGGCACGGAGCACGGGCTCGGGGATGAGTAAAAGGCCACCCGCTGAGGTGGATCGCTAGATTGCGCTGGCTTGAGCGATCATTGTCATGGTTCCTGCGAGAGACATGTCGGTATATGGCTGCAGGAGAAAAAGCGACGTAACTTTTGCAAAAGAGCAAAGATGGGAGAGACTAGCAGGACCGGAACAAAGGATGGCAGGCGAAGCGACTTGGACAAGGAATTTAAATGAGAAGGGGCGCGCGGTGCAAGCGCGGACCTAGCCTCGTCAATCGATTTGGGGTTAGTAGGGCGGGGCATGGGTCGGGCGGGATGGGATGACGTGGACGGAGACGTGGCGTGAAACGAGCGAAATGAGAGCTGAAAGGAGGGGCGGATATGATTCGCGGGCGGAGAGTTGTATGACGGGCGATGAAGGGCCTCCAAAACGAGCGCGGCAGGGGATATAGGAAAGGACAAGGAAAGGAGCAGCCTGGGCCTCAAGCGCGGCGATGTGGCTTGTAAAGAATGAACTGGGATCGACAGCATACGCCAGGACTCGGACATAGGCGTTCGTTAATCGAGGTAGGCAAGTCGGACGCGGAAGGTCTTAGAAGAAGGAAGACGGTCGGTAGTCTGGAGCGCGAAAGAGGAAGAAAACTTATCGTTGTGTGTACGGTGGTTATTAAAACAAGCCAAAGCCAAGCATACGCACTCACACAGCCTTTTCGCTCACCACCATCCCGTTTCAGAACGGACCCGGTTCACCGTCTGCCTACTCTCAGGTCTTCAAGCCCTTCAGGTCGCTGAGACATCAACGTTTCAACTCACGCTTGCCCATATCCCTCTGCGCCCGACTGGCACACTACGGATCTCCGAGCTCAAGATTCATGAAAAAAAACAAGATCTTCAGGCTGTGCGCTCGCTGCGCTTCTCTTTTGACCACAGACTCGATCTAGCTTGGAATCGCGTTCCTTCATCGCGCTCCGCCTACTCAGGATCTTCAAGCGACTCTCGCAGGGCGAGGGGCGTGAGATATAGGTGCGTCGCGTATATTAAACCCATCGCCGACCCTCACCCATCATGATTCGCAGCGTTCTATTGCAGTGTTCGATAGCGCGGTGTGTGGTCGCTCGCAATCCACCCCGAGTCTCTCCGTATCTTGCCATGACACCGCCAGGCCAGTCAACTGTTCTATCGCGTGCCTCATACGAGCAAAATTGAGGTACGCTCTCTCCAGACGCTCCGCCTTATGTCTTCACTATGCGCTCACGAAACCGTACGCTATCATTTTCTGACCATCGAATAATTGATACACCTTCCAGCGCGCTGCCGCTGCCGGCTGCGGACTCCTGTTCGTCGCACCTCCGCGACGGCTTCTCGCGGCGAAGACGATTCCACGGTCTTCCACTGGGTTTCTCGGATCATGATACGAGCAAGGACAGGAGTGCTTGAAGGCGGATACTGGTGCCGTCGATATGTTCAACAGGATCTGAGGAACAGGATCATTTGCTCACGGAGCGTCTCAGATGTACACCCGCCCGCCCGCTAGGGATAATTGATTTTGCCACTGCGCTGCAGTGACAGAGTCCGAAAGTCGTCGGCATCGGTCCGTCCATCTACTGTCGATTTTTTTAAGGAGATCGATCGAAATTTATGGGCGATATCCGGGACATCTGCTTGGCGAGCGATTGTAACTTGCGGTGTCTCCCTCCAGCTTTCAACCAGTAAGCGAATTCACCCAGAATTAGGCAGGAGTTTGTCCGGCAGAGATAGCTGCGAGTACTTAGGAGCGACGATCAGAGACTAAGTAATATTTTCTCTTCTTCGGCCCCCGCAGCGGCGGCCCACCTCCGGCCCGGAGTCTTAGGGCTTATGAGGCCTTGGGATTGAATCGGAGAGGGCCTTGACATTGTTGAAAATGCGCGAAGATCAACATAAATTAGATAACCTGGGAGCATCAAGATAGCTCTCGGTTTACGAGTGTAGTCATGTCTCGGCAGTCTCAAATATAAAGTGATCATGAGGAAGACGGGGGAACGCGGCCCTCGCTGCTTCTTCGAAGGTTCTCTGCAAGTCATCCGTGACACTCTTCTCTGGTTTTGGCCACTGGTAGGAAGAAAGCGGCCGAACGATCAACTCCTGTA